CAAGGGTTGTGCACCTACAGTGCAGTTAATCTTGCTAAATAGTAGCAGGATCTTCAAAACACCAACAAATGACACAGCAAATAGGGTCCAGTTATTTCCCAGGCCTATCACCATCTCCCCACATGAATACATGCAAACTCTTTAACCTTTCTGTTTCTTGCCCATCTACAAACTGGGTAAAAATATTTCACAGCTCTGAAAAGTGCTCTGAGGTCCCAGAATGGAAAAGGTGCCACATATATGCCAAGAATCATTCTTAATAGACAGTTTTCCACAGCAGGTTTATCTAGGTCTGGAAAAGTGACTATGTAGCACTATTTCTCCCTTGCTACTTAAACAAAGACATAGGTCCAACTTCATTTCTAATGCAACTTCTAGAAAATAAAAAAGGGGAAAAAAAAACTTACACAGAAGTCATTTTTACCCTTATTAAAGCTACCATTTTTTCTTCCTAAAAGAGTCAATACCAGAGCCTGTAAAAAAATAAAAAACTCCACTAATAGGCAACCAGGCATTTGCATTCCCATCTACCATGCCTAAAATCAGTTCAAACCCTGGAAAAAGATTAAAAAACAAAGCAAATATTTGCAGGAGGATGCAATCCTTATCTGAACTTCAGTTACATATCACCTAAATCAGTTTGCATTTTGAAATACATATTTATCAAAGCTCATTTTAGAGAGTAGTAGAACAAAAGGGTAGTGTCAATATTAGGCAATTAAATCTCACTTTTAATGAATGTACAGAATCAAAAGATTTGCAAATACCTAATGGTGAAAATATCAAATAATACAGAAAACAAGCCATTCTGTTTAAACTGGAACTAAGAAGCTTGTTTCCTATAAATATCTCTTGCGCCTACCTAAATTTGTGGTCTAAGACGATAAAAACTCTAACCATAGCTTCTTCCCAAACACAAGGAAATCTATGATATCTCCCATGCACAAGTTGTCTAGTACAGAAGAAACACTCTTTCATAAAGAAGTCTTCTCCTGGTTAAGGCCTTTGTCTTTATGAGGCCATTATTTTATTCTCATCTGCTGTTTAGTTTCCTAAGTTGTAGGAATTTCCGTCTTTGAGATGTGTAACCCTCTATAATAACTGATGAGAATCATTCAACAGAATCAAAAGCTCTTGTAGGAGATGGAGAGCAGATGAGCTAACTGGCTACACAAGCAAGGAGACAAAAATCACATTCCCTAGCCAAATATCTAAACACAAGAACCTGTGTTTTTCTTTTTATGAGATTATTATCAAACTCAAGAGAGTTATTTGTTCCGTATCTACACAAAGCAGTTCTGACAAGAGGTAAGTGTGATCCTTAAAGCCGATGGCTAGTCTGAAATAACTCCATGGGCACCATCTCAACCCAGAGTACTAATCACTAGCCTGGTTTCCTCCTTCTTCATTTTGGACAACACTACTTGGGAAAGGAGAAAAAACAAGTTGTATAGGCAGAGAAGCTAAGTAAAATGAAAGCAATCCTGTGACAGTATTTTTAAGATTATATGACAACTAGAAACAATTTACTGTCTAAAGGAAAATGGAGCTCATCAACATTAGAAAATGTGTTGTGTGACTAAAAATTTTCCCTAGCTGAGACATTCGGGTGCTTAGCTATGTATGTAACTGACAGCTGTTTACACTAACATATAATTTTCTAGTTTAAACAGGGCATGGCAAAATGAAAATGATAAAGGTTTCTGGAGTCATCTAGTCAAAAAGAAAACACATTGCACCACGAACATAAAAGGCTATAAAAAATTACAAGTTACAGACCATACAAATTAGGAGGTTAAAGAGGAAAGGAATGAGTCATACAAGGGAATGCTTCAGAGCAGTGCGTAGGACAAGAGCTACATACACCACCACAGCAGCAGTACTTCCTATCCGTGTCATCTGTACAAGACACAACTCACATGTATCACACAAGAGCTCAGCAAGTCAGCTGTGTGTACGTAAACATTTTTCTTGGTACGTTCTGAACCATCTCTGAAACAATAAAAACAGAAATCTAATTCTGTTGAGGTCACTTGGGACTTAAGTATCTCAATTCCCCTTTTTCTGCCAAAGTGCTTTCAGATCTCTAAAAAATATATATACATATGTACACATATTTTTTAACAGGTAATAAACATAATTTGGATCACACTCTGACATGTATTACTCTAAATGAGTATGAAAAAAACCCCACAATTTTTCATCTGAAAACATACGTATTTCTCAAAGGAAAATCTAACAAGCAGTAAGAAGTATATTTCATCACTTTAAACAATGGATAGGGTTAAAGAGAAGAAAGTACCTAAACTCTAAAGCTCGAGCTTTCACATCACTGGGGCCTTTATTTTTGTCATCTTTTAGCACAGAAATGACAGAAAGTTGGGGCAATCTGTTCTTCGACTTACATCCGTTGCTCAGAGGAACAGAGAAAAACGGTGATACACGAGTATCCCCTAGTGATAAAATGGTGAACTGCATAATAATATCAGTGCTTCAGATAGTTAAATACTCGTGCAGTCATAAAAACTCACAAACAACATAAAGACTCACAAACAACAACAGCAAAAAAGAATATGCTTTTTGATACTCACAGCCTGGCCTGGGGGTGGCTGAGGACTGACAGCCTCAAACACAGGCATGAAATGCCAAAGCAGTAAATGTTTGTCTAAAAAACCATCATTAAGAATTTAAGTTTTCAAAGAAAAAAAACTGAAGGAAAAAGAAAAATAGAGGTAATAACTACTTAAAGGCAAAATATACATTCCTGGAGTTTTGAGGTTTGGCAGTTTGTTCTGTAGCGGGAAGGGGGGAAAAGGAAGGCGGGAAAAGGAAGGGGGAAAAAGGAAGGGGGAAAAAGGAAGGGGGAAACTGAGGACCCAGAGCTCAATATCCTGCTCATATTCTGAATTCAACCATACTCAGTCAAATTCTGAATGGTCATACAAGCCGAGGGAGTCATCCTATCTGCATGGTAAAGGATGCCAACAGGAAAATAAAATTCATAAATTGTTTCTACTACTATTTTCAAAGTTTTCATCTAAAAAAAAATAAACCAATCAAACCACAGATAGAGCCATGAGAGATCTAAAACCCAGCCAGAAAAACCAAAGAACTTAGCGGCCTTCAACCCGGATCCAAGGAGCTGAGAGTCTGCAAATTGATGTTGAAGGGCAACAAGTGAAAGAACCACGTCATTGACACACATTTATTACAGCAGCACTGCCAAGGATGCCTTGTCATTATCACCACAACTGAAGCACTAAATAAATAACTAAAATGTTCTTTTTATCATGCTAGTGCTCATCGACACATCCATCAGAAAAGACCAGCAGACCCCCAGATTTAAAGGAAGAATGTATTTCTGGCTGTCAACTACACTGACTGGATTTTTCACACCTTGAACAAAAAGCTTCACAAATTTCCTGGATTAAAACAGAGATATTCACATTCTAATTTCATTTGTTGGAAGTCTCAAACCAATACACAAACATTTCTATACAATGAAGTCCAATGACATCCAGGCACCCAGCTTCCTGAAAATGTTCATCTGTCTTTTATGGCTTCAGAATCCTAAGCGGATTATCAGTCAAAGTGATGAGACCTGCCTGCCTTCAGACAGGTACAAAAATCAAGATTTGTTGGCAATTAAGTGAAATAATGCTATCAGTAAGGCATACAGCACATGCAAATGCTGTTTGCTGGAATTTCTGTGACTACTTCTTCTGAAGTTTCATTTACACAACTCAGTTATTAAGACAAAGATCAGTACTGCAGCGTTTCTTTTTTGACACCTCAGTAACAGCGTCAGTCCTTACAGGGGCATGAAATAATTCCTGAATTCCAATTGGGTGTCACCAAGCATTTGCTAAAAGTAAATAAGAAAACATCAGAAATAAAAAGGGAAATCTATTTCTGTGTTCAGAAATTCTGACATTTTCTTGCTCATGTTTAAAACGTCACTGCTTTAATGAGCGCTGAATGAACCATTACAGAGCTGGATGCTGTTGCAGCAGGACTTAGTAGAATAAGGATTCTCATCCTCCACATTTTTAAAAACAGAGGTATCATCCTGATGAAGAAGGATGAGCAGGAAATGAAATGTCCAGAATTTTCATAAGCATTTTTATTAACTTGCAGAACAGGATTTACTTATTAAACGCAAGGCCTCCAAATATAAACCACACACCTGCATTACACTCACACCAATTATATAATACATATATAATTACTCACAGTTTATAAATTACAATCTTTAAGTCTTTAATGAAAAAAATTCGCTACAAAGAACACAAATTTGTGAAAACTGGCATACATCCACGCCCTGCTTCTTGTTGGGACATTGAAGAAATCTACCTCAGTTCTGGATAAATACCAGGTCCTTCACAGTGTGCATTCTACATTAGTAACTTGTCCAAGGTATGACATTAGGAATAAGCTATTTTCTTGTTTACATCAGTTGTTGCACAGCTTTAAGTAAACTATCACTATGGAGAGAAGGGTCAGAGATTTTCCACTCACCTCCCCTCTGTCTTATGTAATAAATAGAAGTTAGATACAAGCACAATGACACAGACTTATCACACAGAATGGCCAGGGTTGGAAGGGACCTCAAGGATCATGAATCTCCAACCCCTCCACCACAGGCAGGGCCACCAGATTCCACATTTAATACCAGACCAGGCTGCCCAGGGCCCCATCCAACCTGGCCTTGAACATCTCCAGGGAGGGGCATCCACAACCCCTCTGGGCAGCTGTTCCAGCACCTCACCACTGTCTCTGCAAAGAACTTCCCCTGACATCCTCCTTATCTCATAAACTATTTTAAACAAAGAGTCAGCATAAAGTCTGCTCTTCTGTCCTCACTACAGTTGAACAGTAAATGCTGTAACATAACACCAAACTTAAGAGTAGAAACAAATCAATATAAAGAAACATCTACAATGCAAGAATTACGGTCCAAACCATTTTTTTTTTTTCAAGTATGTAAAGGGATTACTTACAATTCATCTCCTTGTTTTGCTTTCTTGTCAGAAACCAGATACACGCTTCCAAAGCTCCCGTTGCCAAGTTTCCTCTGAATAGTGTATCTCCTTGCGATAGCAGCATCTGAGCAAGCAGAATTAGAGCTGGAAATGCTGACATGCTTAGCAGTTTCTTGAAATTTCAGCATTGCTCCGTGTAACAGAATCTACCCAAATTTCTCTAGAATGCAGTTTTCAAATCCTTTCACTCCTCTACAGATGTTCAGAGGAAATCCTTGAAACAGAAAGAAAAAGATTTGTTAATATACTAATCTTAACTAGAAAGCTATTTACTCTTTCATTTGCCCTTCAACTCCCACCATCTTTCTGCCATCTGTCAGCACATGAGTGACTGACTGCTACCAGCTTCTGCAAACCAAAGCTTCCTGGCTAACCACAAACCTACAGGATTTTTAACAACACTCACTTCTGCCAAAAGTTCTTCCTTTCTCTTTTGCTAGAATAATTTGATTGCAATCCACCTTTCCAATAGTTCAGCTTTGTTTTGCAGTTCTTGTCTGCCTGAGGTCCTAATTCTGCAAATGCAGAGAGCGCAGAAGCAAACTTTTGCTGTTACTTTGGCCTGCTATGACTGAAAATGCTTTTGGACTGACTTTGTTTTCTTTTCCTTCCTCATTCCAAACGACAAGGAGCAGATGCTTCTCCTTACATACCAAAATAATACTGGTGTTGTTACTTTGCTTTTTTATTTGCATTATTTGTTTCAAAGGATCCTCAAGTGCAAAGAAACCCGTTCATCAGCACAGTTATTACTGCTGTCTCATCAGCACTGCTTTGTTTGAAAATGCTTTGTTTCGTTTGGAAAAGAGAAGAAAAAAAACCTTTATTTTACCAACCGTGTAACTTCTGGTGCCAAGGGATTGCTTTCCTACAAACAGGGAGCCTAAACGAAGATTATGAGTTTGGAACCTTTTTTTTTTAACAGTAACCAAATGTGCACCAACCTATTTCAACACCCACCTGCTGAGCTGCTGGTACGCTGCCCCAACGAGCGCGACTTTGTGGCGAAACGCAGCCAAACTTTACTTACTATAGACCACCTTAACAACGACACAGACCTCTTTTAGCTTAAAGCCATTCCCCCCCTCGTCCGCTCGGCACCCTGCCGCGTGAAGCTGGGCGGTTACCTGCCAGCACCCCGATGCCGCCCTCCAGCCCCAGCCCGCAGCTCAGCCCACAGGGCCCGAGCGGCGCCGTTGTCAAGACGACGCTGCGCGTGCGCGGTGAGCCCGGCCGGAGGGCCGCTTCCGCCGCCGCCGCCATGGGCGTCCCGGGGCTGACGGGCTTCGTGGAGGAGCGCGGTTCGTTCTTCGCGGAGCTGCGGGTGCGGGACACCAAGCTGGTGATCGACGGCAGCAGCCTCTACTACCACCTCTTCTTCGCCTCCGCCGCCGATTTCCGCCGCGGCGGCGATTACGGCCCGTTCGCGGCGGCCGCGGACGACTTCTTCGCCGTTCTGCGCTCCTGCGCCGTGGCCGCCTTCGTGGTGCTGGACGGCGGGCGCGGGGCGGCCGACAGGAAGCTGGGCACGCTGCGGGAGCGCGCCGCCGAGCGCCTGCGCGCGGCCCACGGGCTGTCCCGCGGGGAGGGCGGCCGCGCGCTGCCGCTGCTGGCGCGCCATACCTTCGTGCAGGCGCTGCGCCGGGCGGCGGTGCCCTTCGTGCAGTGCTGGGCCGAGGCCGACCGCGAGGTCGCGGCTCTGGCCAACCGCTGGGGCTGCCCCGTGCTGTCCCTCGACAGCGACTTCTTCATCTTCCCGCTGGCGGGCGGATACCTCCCGCTGAGCGCCTTCCGCTGGCGGGACGTCCGCACCGAGCGTTCGGGCCGCTACATCCCCGCGCGGCGCTTCGAGGCGGAGAGCTTCTGCCGGCACTTCGGGCGGCTGAGGAGCAGCGCGCTGCCGCTGTTCGCCGTCGTAAGCGGCAACGACTACGTGGACGCGGCGGCGTTCGAGGGCTTCTTCGGCAGGGTGCGGCTGCCCGGGAAGCACGGCCGCGCGCGGGGGCTGCTCGGCTGGCTGGCGGGCTTCGCGGGGCCCGAGGAGGCGGCGGACGCCGTGCTGAAGCACGTGGGCGGGCGGCGGAGGGACGCGGTGAGGGAGCTGCTGCGCCAGGCCCTGCGGGACTACGCGCCGTCCGACGTGAACCTCGAGGAGTTCTTCGCGGAGGGCCGCTACCGCTGCGAGGAGGCCGAGGCCTCGGGGCTGCCGCCGTGGCTGCTGGGCGCCTTGGCCAGAGGCGAGCTGGCTCCGCTCGTCGCAAACGTCCTGACTCTGAGGAGCACCTTCCTCCACGTCCAGGTGGAGGACATGCGGCGGCCCAGCGCGCATAGCGCCGCGCTGCCCATCCGGCGGGTTCTGTACGGCCTGCTGCTGCTGCACGCGGCTCCCGGCGCCGACGCGCGGCGTGAGGCACGGAGCGGCGCGCTGCCGGCCGTCTGCGAGTTCGACCGAGTGCAGAAGTCAATTAAAAAGACGTTTGTCCAAGCGGCGAGACTCCCCGCGCCTTTTGGCGATGATGGCTTCTCTCTAGACGAGTTAGTGCAGGTAAGTGCTCGTCGCAGCCGGTTAGCAGCGTGGCACGCGCTTAGGAGGTGCGGTGTTTGACAGCGGGGCAGTGAAGGTGATTGGCGAACCCAGCGGCTTCAGTGAGCAAATGCTCGGCTATACACAGTCCTGCTTCTGAGGGCTGAGGAGCAAAGCACATTTCTTCACTCCCCCCTACCAAGCGCGCCAAGCCAAATTACATAACCGGCTGACAGCGTGCATGGATAGCATTGCTAAATCATCCCGTGTAAGCCCTCCTCCCGTCCTTCCTATATGTTAAACTAATATTTGCTTTTGTCATTTTAGGAAAGGACTCGCAGTTCTGTGAAATTTAGAAAGGTTTAGAAAAGTTCAACACTACTAAATTTAACTTGCATTTGATCAAGTTACGGATATCTCAGAGCAAAGTTAAATTTTCTAAAAATCAGCATTATTACTTCATCTGTAAACCTGCAGCTATCCAGCAGTTCCTCTTGCTCTGAATATGCATCCTGCTATGCATGCTTCTCTGCTCCTTGCCAAGCAGAATAGCACCTGAAAAATACAATTTGTAATCAAAGGAAGTTTGTACTAGGTTAGTTCTAGTCAGCATTAGCTGTGGGATATTTAAATTCTCATGGTTTCTTATGGTTGAGACTATGCCTTGGAATGGGAAACACCCAGGGTTCATACCTCTTCTTGAAACTTTTGGAAATACAATCAGTGCCTTTCATACTACACATAGAATCATAGAATTGCTCAGGTTGGAAAAGACCTTAAAGTTCAAGTCCAACCACAACCTAACCATACTACCCTAACTACCCTCCACTCAATCATGTCCCTGAGCACCACATTCTAATGGTTTTTAAACACATCCATGGCGCAACCACCTACTTGGGGAACCTATTCCATGTGCTCTGCCCACTGGCATCAGATCCACAGTAGCACATCTGTGTGTTGTCATCAGCAGCTGGTGGCTGTGAATGTTGTCTGTCCCTGCTGTGGTACAGGTTTATTGTTATTTTGAATCAGTGGCATGCAGATATCTGTGAAATGTGTGGTTTGGGACTTTCAGAAACGTTAATGATACCTAAATGTGGTCTTGCATTGTATACCCTACTGAATTTGAGTTTTGGTTATTATAACAACTCTCCTCACTAAATATATACAAATTACCAATTCAACAAGTTACAAGATGTGTTCCTCTGTATTCAGAGTACTGGCAAAATTGGCTTCAGTTTACCTTCTGTTTGTGGGATTGCTGCTTTGCAATAAGCACAACCATCCCAATCCAGATGTGCAAAACACTCATGTTGCAGTTGGGCACCTTGCTCCAGTTCCGCAGTGAGCACTGCATGTAGACAGTTTGTGGTGCTGTGTTTTCAATAGCACAGCAAAGAAGGAATGTGCTGTGAGCTCACATACTGCAAATGAGAAAGGTAAGCTGTACACTGAAGGTTTCACTGTGGTAACAGGTGTGTTCTTGCCATACCAAGAACAAACATCACCATTACAGCTCACAAAAATGGGCCACTTTTTGAAGACATGAATTTACACAGACATATTTGCCATGCCAAGGGAACTTCAATATGTTACACCTGCTGAATTTTCAAAGTCAACTTTTGCGTAGGAATGTAATGTAAATCACCTGATTTGCAGAAGACTCTGAAGCCTGTTAAAATCCAGCTGACCTCAGGCAATTGTGAAAATTGCCTTTTTAAGTGGTTTTTCAAAAATACTTCCTGTTCAGAGTATCTGTGACACTTAACTTTTTATTTTAATTAAAACCACAAAGTATTTGCTAGTTTAAATTATCTTACCTGCCTTCTGGAAATGACTCGCAACAAATAAAGTCTGTTTTTTTTCCTTCAAGATCTTTTGCTTATTTTCAGGTGCCAATGTCACACCGTCAGCTACTTCTGCTGGAGACTTTAGGAGTGAAAATGAGTTTGCTAGAATCTGTCCCTGCCCACTTACAGCTCCCTGTTGCTGTAACCTGTTACTGGACGCGTTGTTCGGAACCTAAAGTGAACTTGCATCACTTAAAGGCTCTACTTCTAATGATAGTAGCTGGAGAACTGCACAGGATAACAAATGAGCCAGGTATGTCTCCAAAGGATACAATTTCGGATGCAGAAATCACAGTTTCTGTGAGTACTTACTCACAGGTGAGTACTTTCAGTAATATTTCTACGTGTTAGGGGTAAGGTGGCATTTTCTTACGGAGAATCCTTGATATGATGCCAAAGATGATGCATGCCAGGGTTATTCTGTTGATTTAGGCTCTGAACTACAAAAGCTGCTTGAAAGTGACTGCCACCTGCTTCTTGAGTGGGATGGAGTGAGATGGTAATCTTCTCAAATGGATTCACTCCCAGAACTGGGAAAGTACTTGACAGAATTACTATTTTCATCATTTCAGATTCATACGGATAATGATACTCACATTTTTTCTCCACTTTATGTCTTAATGTTGAGATATTTAGGTAGGCTTCCAGAAATACAACTAAACACTGGTAGTTTGTAGGCCCTATACACTGCAGATACTTATCGTGTGTTGACAGAAGGATATTTATGTCTGTCATTTTCTATCCATAACCTAGATCTCACAGTTCTCCACCCAGAAGACAACAGAATTGCTTTTAACGAATTTCTAAAATGGAAGGAAGAGAAACTGCAAAATAAAGACTTTGATTTAGATGCTGCACATGGCTTTTGCCAGTGGCAGTGCTGTCTTGAGATGGGATTGTATCTCAACCAGCTACTCTGCAGTCCTCTCCCTGAGCCAGACTTAGCTAGGTAAGGACATTTCAGAGATCTGCTTTCCACATAAGCTCCCTCTGAAGTGCTTTCACATGTTGCTTTAATGTCTGCATCATAAACTGCTTTGGCCAATTTTAGCACAGTTCAGACTCCTTTCTTTAAAGGTGAGAATATGGAGAAAACTCTACTTAGAATATTTCTTAGGGGCCCGCTGTTGAATATTTATGTAGTTAAGACGTGGTTGGGGTGTTTGGTTTGTTCTCCCCACTACGCTGCATGTTTTTGTACTTCTGCTGAGGTATGATAGCAAATGAGAATTCTCTCCTTCCTTTGAGCAGGCTCTATAGTGGGACCCTCGTGCACGGACTGTATCAAGAGCTTAAGTCAACACCTTCAGTGGAAAATCTGTTCAGTTCTTCTCCAAAAATGACTGAGTTTTATCAGGTTCTGTTGAATATAGTCATATCAACTGTATCTCCAGACTTCTTTCAGAAGAAAACAGAGGCCAAATCTGAGTCCTGCAAAAAGAAAAAAGCATCTAAAAAGACAAAGGCTGTCAGGTGTGCTGTGTCTGAAACTCAGCGTTTACGTGATGTTAATAGGTTTGCATCACTCAGTGTGGATGACTGAGAGCATTATTCCTATAATAATTTCCAGTGCCACAGAGACAGAAGAAATTATATTTAAAATGTGATTATATTGGAATTTGCTTGGCTGTTTTCATACAAGCTCCTGATATTTATTTTTTTACCAATGAGTCTCCCTCCAGGATTTAGTATTTTTGTAACAAAGGCTCCTATAAAAGAGGTAC